TATATAATATCTCGATATATATATATATATATATATATATATATAATTGTCTCCTTGGAAACAAGTGAATAGAAAAGAACGGATTCATTGTCGTCTATTATCGGCTAATCGGCCAGGTACTTGTGTTATTCAAACAACGAAAGAGGTAGAAGAAAAAAATTGTCCGTGAAAGACAGTGATGTCATCGTAATTTTCCGGTTAACTATTGACTCATTCGATAGAAAAGATTAATCTATGACTGTTTAGAGAAGCCACGTGAAAAATATTATCAGGTCAATGAACTCGAGGCTTTCTACTCGTGTTGTAATCAACACAAATGTTCGTTAAGCTATTATATTATGAAGGTGAGGACGAATTTTTTTTTTTTTTTGTATTGAAAAAAGATCAATATTTCAAATAAATTATTATTATTTATTTTTTTCTATTAACAAAGTTTGAATTTTCACACGAAGAAGAAGAAAGAGACGTGAAAAATGAAAATTTTGTCTATGAAATATCTCGAAATATTATATATTTTATATATAATATTTTTAAAGTTTATTTAAGAAAAGTACGCGCAATTTTTTGAAAGAGAAATCAGCATTCTATAAATAATCCGAAATATTTATCTCTGCGCGAATATTAATAAAATTTGAATTTTCACGGGGCAAAATATTAATCAAAATATTAATGCAAATATTGACAATTATTGAATTGTTTGTTAACCCTCGAAACATCGTGTATCTACATTTTTTAAATTCCATTTTATTTGCGTATAATAAAAAAGATACGTAGATATTTTTTTTTTTTTTTGAAAGAGAAATCATTGAAAAATTAATTTTAAAATAATTTTTCTCTTTTCATCGAATCATCACGACGACGAGCACGATATCGAGCATCCATTAAATCGATTTTTTCATTTCTATTATTATCCAAAAAGAATTATAAACAACTTTTTTCTTTTTTTTTTTTTGCTCTTTTCTTCCTCACTCACGAGCAAACAACTCGCTACTCTAACACCCACACGGGCAAACAACAGATGATTGACCGCTGCAGAGATTTCCTACAAAGATGTTTCGCAATTACAATAATAATAAAAAGGAAGCAATAAACGGAGAGGAGGGGGAAGAGAGGAGGAAGAGATGAGATAATAAACAACGATAACCCTCGAAAGAAGAACGGAGAGAACAATGAGGGGGGGAGGAAAATAGTTTTAGACGCTGTTAGAAACGTGATTAGAAACTTCGCACGAGTAAACAGATCTAATACTTCGCACGAGTGATTAGATATAACCGGTTTGGTATCGTGTTTATTTTATTCGAGGTTAAAACATTATTTACGTGGTGATGCATCAACACGATACGCGAATATTTATTATGAACCAAAAAAAAAAAAAAAAAAAAAAAAGAACTTTATATGGGTTATTATGCGTTCTTATTCGAATAATAAATAAATAAAAAAAACCGGAGGGTACAATCACGAAAGATAAATGCAGCATCGAACAATTGTATCGCTTGTTACCGCTTGTATTTTTAGAATAAGGAACTGGTGCGACTTCGATTCAAGACAAAGTGTAATGTTACATTGTGTTACACTTGTGCAAAATACAGATATATTTTTATAATCGATAGAACGATTGTCTACCTTTCTCACGTTTTGAT